CAAGGTTTTTAGTGAGCTTTCCTGGACCAAAGGAAACCCTATAGGCTATGTAAAAAGGTTCAGGCACGCTACAGGTCTCTCTGCAATCAGAAATCTTAATCCATCACAGCTGCTCCTAGTTACACAAAGAGCTACAGACTTTAGCAAGAATTTTACAGTCGCTCTTTAGGCCCTAGACATTTCTCCCGTTCCCAAGCTGCCCTGATATTGATTATTTGGGGGTTTGGGAAATGCCAATCAATCAGCTGATGTCATGCTTTCTGGGTAAAAAGAACATAACTGAGGAAGTTGGTGAATGACACTGTATCAAGTTTCACTTTGTCCAGAGGTTGTTGTACTGTGAAACTAAGAAAACAGATGTGTCTTGTTCTGCTATGGCCACAATGATTCAATGCAGAATAGTACAACACTCCAGTATCTGTTGCCCCTTCTGGAAGACTCATTAGAGGACAACCTCAGACAAGACAGACAAAAAAAAAACACACCGCTAAGTTTGCAAATTAGCTAGTTATGTTCACTTGTTAGTTCTTTGTTTTAAATGTGAGATCTAAAAGTTCCTGTATTGAATATGGTTCTCAAAGATTCTTTGAACTAGGGATGCACCGATATATATCGGCCGAAAATGGCACTTTTGGCAAAATGCTGAAAGTGCAATTTTTTTGGCTGATACAGCGGTGCATCCCTGCTTTCTCTCCTCCCCGCTGGGCGCTGCTCTGTGTCCCAGCAGGGAGCAGAGAAACTGTCACAGGAGGCCGAGCAGGGAGTATGGTTACTATATCCTCAATTATGAATTAATGGGAAGTGATCTAGTTAGTTCTATATCCTCCATTGTGAATGAATGGGAAGTGATCTACATCTCTTCCTGTTCATTCATGATTGTGGATATAGTAACCATACTCTGTCCTCATGTTATAAATGAACAGGCCCTCCCCTCTCCGATCCTCCAGCGTTGAGTGGAAGAACGAACGTGGGGAGGTGGCAAGCACAGCTGGCTCTGCCTCTAGATAGGCAGAGCCCACTGTCAATCAGCTTTTATTTAGTTTAGGGTTTTGTGCAAGCCAATCAAGTTTCTTTACACCAAAATTATCAATTTTTGTCTTTCTGTACATGAAAGGCCTTCCCAAAAAGGTCATTACAAGGTTGGAAGAGCACAATGAATGCCTTTGTATGCTTCATCAGTAATAGTAACCTTCACTGCAAAGTCCTGAACTCTGTTCAGAAGGTTGTCCACAAACATTTGCCCATATAGTGTATATGACAATCAATCCAGCTCCCTTCCTAGTCTATTCCCTCCTTGTGGTTGCCTTTATTTATCCCTTCACTTTCTTTTATATTTATTTTTGTTCTCTGAGTGCAACTGATTTTCTTTTGAGTGTCACAACATATGTAATGGGCATGATTTATCTATTTATTCCATATTTATGCATTAAAAGGAGAACTATGAGGTGAGTAAAAATTACTCCTCCTCATCGTTCGAGCCGACGTGTGACAATGAGACTGTCACACGTCGGCTCAATACATCAGGAAGTGAGCGAACACATACCGTGGCTCCCTCACTTCTTGATCATCTCCCTGCAGAGAGCTGTGACTGTCAGGGATTCCCCCCTCCCCGCTCCGATCCTCCAGCGCTGAGTGGAGGAACGGACAGGGGAGGGGGCAGGTACAGCTGGCTCTGCCTCTATATAGGCAGAGCCAGCTGTCACTCATGCAGCTGGTTGGATCTCGACAGTAATGTCGGGATCCGTCCCGGCTGCGGCGGTCTCAGTATACCTCGAGCTGTAGCTCGCTATATACTGAGCTTTGGGTCATGGGAGGACGCTAGTTTATGTCCTCCTGTGACCCTTAAGAGAACTATGGGGAAAAACACTTACCCCATAGTTCTATTTAATGTATGTATACAAATTAGTATTTTATTAACACATATAGTATATTTATAAATATGAATTGATTAGGCACGCATATGGATTCATGACACTCTATCCACAACATTTTATTGTAGATTTGAGTATATGTGGAAGTGTTTAATCTTCTGTGGGGTTTTTATTTCTGTCTACGGACATTGGGGTCACTGGGACAGGAAGTGAGTAGACACCTACACGGGATATAAAAAATAAAAAAGCTCACACAGGTTCTAGTATTACTCTAATTTACTAAAAAAAGTATTTTTTTTATTGTTGCTGTGTCCTTGTGTGAAAGGTTTGTTCCTTAGTGACAACATTGCCACTAATACTAAAAGTTATGAAAATAGCTCATAGACAGACAGCATTACAATTCTGGCAAAGGTTTTGCCCTTTTCCACCCTATCCGAAAATTTCCAAGTGCAATTCCATCCACAACTTTTTAAAAAGTCATCTAGTATGTGGTTGGAGGGTTATTCTGGCAGAGACACAAGTAAGCCATGGTTTATCTGCAAGTGACCTCTAACATCCATAGCGCCCATCAGTCAGTATGCAGTTACAGGTCCTTCCGGTGACTGTTTGTCCAATATTTTTAGAATTGTTACAGTTCTGCCATTTCCCCCAGTCCTGTCTCTTGTGTGTGAAAAATAACCGCACGTCTTTCTATTTGATTGTTATGACTCGGAAGAGTCTGCTCAGTACAATTCTCACATGTTTGTTTATGGCCGTATTGAGAAACACGCTAGTCAGTGTTGAAACACTGAGACATAGACCCACTCACACTGTCTCCTTACTGGAACATGACATGCATCTGTAAATACAAAAACCACAGCTACAGAATGCCATTTGTGGCTAGATTACACATGGAGAGTCACGCATAGAAATCTATTTTCCTGGGTAGCTTTCAGGATGAAGTAGATCTAACTTACACAGATCACAGGGAAGTGCTGATGGGGGATTCAGTGGACATTAGAGCTCAGAGGAAAAATGCAACCGATCGTTCAGAAGGAAGTTTTCTAAAGAATGAGTCGGGCCGGATTTACTCTCTCTGCTGCCCCAGGGCCGGGTTCCTCAATGCGCCTCTCTACCCGCCAACTCACCGCCTCCCCCTCCCCCCAATGGAGAATGACAGACCTGCATGCTGCATACAAGTGATCTCGGCGACATCGCCGGGATCACTTGTACAAAACAAGCGGCAGCTTCCCCGCTGTACATTTAGCTCTGCTTGCCCAAAGCAGGGCTAAATGTAGATAACAACTACCCGCCCGGCACTCAGAACTGCATGTCCTGGGCATCGGGAGATAGGAATTCCACACCCCTGCCGCCCCTTTACTCCCTGCTGCCCCAAGGCAGGAAGGGTTGTTATAGGTCAGCACTCAGGGTGTCCACTCAATTTCAGCTTAAACAACTGTGCATGTCTATACAAGATCTTCTCTGCTAGATACTACATATGGGTGCCTACAGATGGAGCTAGCTGCTGCTGTCAGGGAGAAGTAGTGATCACATAAATTAGTATACCTGCACAGATGACAAATGCTTCTTTCTCAAAAACCTGGTATTGACTTCCTGCTGTGCCACCCCTACCATCTCCATTCACATATAATTGTAATGCTGGTAAAGTCGGCAGACAGAAAGCTTGCCATTATGGTGGATGGATAGTACCTGCACAAATAACTGCCCACTCCTGTCTGTGGGTGGCTTTAGACCTAGGTCAAGGTTTGTATTTGCACTTCTTACCATGCAGAGTTAATTGCGAGCTATCTACACCTGCCAACAGATTTGAGATGATGTTATAAGTTACTCAAACAAGAAATTGTTGCCCTTTGGAATATGCAGAATATGCGCCTTGACCAGGCAGGGTAAAGCAAATGGTTTCCTTAATGGAAACAGAGCCAAAAACGCATGTCAACAGAGTACGTTGAGTAAGTATGTTGACTTGCGTTTTCATTCAGTGCATTGACATCTGTTGCATTGACATCTGTTGCATTACTTTGCATAAAGTACTGGTGTAAACTGCTCCCATTCACACCCATTCATTTTCAGATGTCCTTGCATTGGATACCATTGAAAAACGAACGCCAACACATCTGGTGTGAATGGGGCCTTAATGTAGACCTCCACCGATGAATATACTTCACTCTACTGCCTCTCCATTCAGCCAGCAGGGAATAAAACCTTGTGTAAGGTACGAGTCACTGAAGTCCTAGTTTACACAGGTATATGGACTCCCTATGTGGCAGTGCCGATTGGCTTAGGGCTATTACGTGAGTCGAGTCACATGCATCTCCTTTCCCTAAAGTACTGGGTATTTTCTTCAGCTCCTAGCAATGAATGAAGTAGCATGGGGACAATGGAAAGATAAGTATAAGATGCTGGGAAGAGGGGTAGCGCACCACAAAGCATTGGTGTGTTTAATGTGTGTTGTGGTGCGCGTGCAGCCTATTCAAAATGCACAGTTTGCCTTAACGCAACGCAAGTTAGCATATGGTCTTTCTGTGCCTACTGCAATCCTTATAAGTAGGGATGCACCGATACCAGTACTAGTATCGGTGCTGATACAGAGTATTTGGGTGAGTACTCGTATTCGCCCAAATGCTCCCGATGCCTATCCCGATACCAGAACTTCCGGTATCAGGTGCCGGGAGGCGAGTCATTACATGCTCTTTCGTCAGCAGGGAGTATGGACCTGGCTTCCTGGCCAATCAGGAAGCCAGGGGGGCAGGTAATGACTCACCACACAGCTTTCTGATTGGTCAGGAAGCTGGCAATCAGGAAGCCAGGCGGCAAGTCATTACCCACCCCCCGGCTTCTTGATTAAATAATATCGGTACTCAATACCGAAAACATTATATTGGTGCATCCCTACTTATAAGTGCCAATTGAAGGGATGGGGGTAGGGAGCCATACTGTAGCTGCTACCTTTCTAGAGAACCTTTCTGCCTTCGCACACACCTGTGATTCTGCAATGACTCTTCAGCCTCTGCTTACCCCAAAGGTAAATACTAACAGTTCTCGCATATAACCATGCTTCTTAACAACATCAGCCTTCTTCCTGGCATGAGGATGTCCCTACAAGACATGGAAAAAAATTTACATACTGACCTTAGTATACAGAAGAAGGCAATGTATAGGCTTCCGTTGGCGGTTAAAAATGACGTGGAGCGCAGGAGTTCAGGTAGTAATCTGTGCATGTAGTAATCAAGTTTTCTCCTCCGCAGGAGTGCTGCTACCTGAAATACAAGGCAGAATGGGTTTTAGGAGGACTGGGCATGGAACGTGATAACGCATAGTTTACCAGGCGCCATACAACATTAACTGAACAATATATAACAACAAGTGTGAGGGTCACAGCACTAAAACACTATTTGGGTTCTCATTACCATGTTTCCATGATGTGTGAACAGTTATTGATCAAGTATTTCGGAGAAGCGGAAGACTGAATTTTGAAGGGTGTACAGAGACGTCATATAATCATTATCATAGACATCTCAATGATTTTATATCAGCCAGAAGTGGACATCATCATAAATGCTTCTCATTCCAAAAGGAAAATTGCAGCCATACTGTACTCCATGCGTATGATCATATGAATGGTCACCTGTGCTGAAGGCTCCGGGTGTTGGCTATGGGTGTTGGCTATGAGTGTTGGCTCTGGGGCAGCCATCACCTTCACAGCTTGTTAAAAGAGCCATGCCCAAAAAGATCAAGCAGAATCAATAGTCACCAGTGTTGCCTGTGGTTTTCCGCCAGTGCCATTGTCTCTGTATGGAGGCCTCCATCTTGATAGAGGCAGCATTACTTCATGGCAGAGTGACCCCCTGATGACTGGTGATATGTTTTTTGAACATATCCAAGTCTCAATACAAAATAATAAACTAAACATGAGACTGTAGTCCATCACAGGAGCGAGCTTGGAGCGGTGACTACTTTACAACACACACAGGGACCATGGGGAACAAAAGTAGCCCTCCTCCAGAAGGAAGGACAGTGTCAGCCCCAATTCAGAGATGATTGGAGGATCTACAGCCGAGTGATACACAAATAAGATACATTTTTGTACTGGAATATATTTTTTGAGTTTAGTGTCACTTTAAACGAAAACATCACTAAAAGTGAAGCTGTAATCACAGTTTTCCAGCATACAAAATGCCATTAAGACAATTTCCCTTCTTGACTGAGTTTAGTGTCACTTTAAATCAGTACTTACGATATTTGACTTGGGCTCGGTCTGTTCGCTACATTGAGAAACATGACCGTTGTGGCCTTTTTGCTGCTGCTATGGACACAAACCAGGGACAGCGAATCAAGAAATATTTATTCACTTCAAAAGAAACACAAGCCTTGTGCCGCAACACTTGTTCAATTCAGTGAAGTGCCCAATTCACACGTTCTATTAATACTCTTGACTGCACATTACAAGTAGGAGAATTTGGCTGGGAGGTCATGGTTTGCCCAGGCCAGTCACTCCTGGTGACATCTGTAACCTGCACTTCTTCAATAGGGGACACAAGCTCTTATCACAACTGCCATACAATGTAACCCAGAGATAACTGGAGAATCACCGGCAATTAGCACTCAGCCAAGAGAGTGTCATACGAAGGTCACAAACCAATGGCCATAGATGGGCTGATTTCTGGTAATAGATGGGCCTCCTTCACACTCAGGCACTGCATTAGGGTGACGGGAGGACGCTAGTTTGTGTCCGCCCGTTACCCCAAGGAGAACTATGGGGAAAAACACTGACCCCATAGTTCTCCTTTAATGATCCCCCTTGATCCAATCATCTTCTTTCCTGTAGTTTTCAGGAGACCCTCCAGCGCTTGTGTCGGTCTCTAATCCCGCATAAACTCCTCGAGTCCCACATTGTCTGTCCGATGTGCACGCTGCCAGCTGCGTACATTGACTTACCCTGTGTCTCTCCTCTTCTCCCGAGCCAAGATCCCTACTGCGCATGCGCCCGCTCCAGGATCCTTCACGGCCCCTCGAGAATCTTCAGCTCTTTGGACAAGAGCGAGCAGCGGAGACACAGGCATGTTTTTACCTATTTGGTAACTTTTTAAAAATGTTTTTGCATATATCTACTGTATGCTAGCAGTAGATATATGGGAAAAAAACAAAAAACTAAGGTTTAAGTGTACTTTAAAAGTGACATTAAAGTCAATTTTTTTTTAGCAGTAAATCTATGCTAAAAAACGGGGGCTTTAATTATCCTTTAATATAGAATGGCGCTCTAAAGCAAAAGTACAGTAAGTGCCAATGGGCTTATTCTGCTGGGCCCTGCAAGGTATACACTACAAAATGCTACAGGTGTGTGTTTTTTTTCCTGGTTGCTTTGTGTCAAAATGTATGGACTGCCTATGGTCTCCCATTAAACAAAATATGGGCTGCTTAATTACAAGTTAATCTGCACTTACCTACAAAGTCCCACAAATATTTGCTGAGCTTTCCACCTAATGCAGCTCCCTCTGATGGGATGGCAACAATGCTGCACTGCTCCTGAATTCAGAGAGCAGAGTTGTCACCCTCATGTGGGCTCTGTCTGCTTGTACTACAGGGGAATGAGATGTTGCAGGGGGAAAGGCTATCAGCATTGTTAGTGCTGATTAACAAGCCTGCAACACCTAGTCCTGCCCACTGCTTTCTGGATTGGCAGCACTGCCTCTGCAGCCAAAACCCTGCCTCTGTGAGCTGCAGTGTCAAGGAGGGAAAGCGTGCGAGACACAAATATGAAGGAGGATCTGGCTCAGTCACAGAATCTAAAGGACTTTTTTTTTTCCCCAAGCCTTGTGCATCACATACTAACTGGATTTGGGACTTGTTTAGAGTGTTATACAGGAGCTCCAAACGCAGCACACAAAATACCGTACGAGTGTGAATGTATTATTATTATTCAGGATTTACATAGCACCAACAGTGTGCACATCGCTTTACAAAATGGAGGGAGACAGTACACTTACAATACAATTTCAGTACAGGAGGTAGGAGAGCCCTGCTGGTGAGAGCTTACAATCTAGTAGGAGGGTCAAGTGATAGAAAAGGTAATAATTGTATGGGATGAGTTATTGGGAGAAGTAAAAGGACAGTTACATCATGGTGGGATAGGCTTCCCTGAGGAGATGAGTTTTCAAGCATCGCCTAAAAGGTGGACAGAGTAGGAGATAAGTGGACAGAATGGGATATGAAATTCTAGAGGTGGAGAGGCTCTGGAGCAGTCCTGGAGGTGAGCATGGGAGGGGGTGACGAGAGACCTGGAGCGGAGAGGACAGTTTGAGAGAGGGGGAGAGAGGGCAGAGGGAGGGAGGTAGAGGGCAGAGGGAGGGAGGGAGAGGGCAGAGGGAGGGAGGTAGAGGGCAGGGAGGTAGAGGGCAGAGGGAGGGAGGGAGAGGGCAGAGGGAGGGAGGTAGAGGGCAGGGAGGTAGAGGGCAGAGGGAGGGAGGGAGAGGGCAGAGGGAGGGAGGTAGAGGGCAGGGAGGTAGAGGGCAGAGGGAGGGAGGGAGAGGGCAGAGGGAGGGAGGTAGAGGGCAGGGAGGTAGAGGGCAGAGGGAGGGAGGGAGAGGGCAGAGGGAGGGAGGTAGAGGGCAGGGAGGTAGAGGGCAGAGGGAGGGAGGGAGAGGGCAGAGGGAGGGAGGTAGAGGGCAGGGAGGTAGAGGGCAGAGGGAGGGAGGGAGAGGGCAGAGGGAGGGAGGTAGAGGGCAGGGAGGTAGAGGGCAGAGGGAGGGAGGGAGAGGGCAGAGGGAGGGAGGTAGAGGGCAGGGAGGTAGAGGGCAGAGGGAGGGAGGGAGAGGGCAGAGGGAGGGAGGTAGAGGGCAGGGAGGTAGAGGGCAGAGGGAGGGAGGGAGAGGGCAGAGGGAGGGAGGTAGAGGGCAGGGAGGTAGAGGGCAGAGGGAGGGAGGGAGAGGGCAGAGGGAGGGAGGTAGAGGGGAGAGGGAGGGAGGGATAGAGGGGAGAGGGAGGGGGGGAGAGAGAGAGAGAGAGACAGAGAGACAGAGAGAGAGAAACGTCAATGTAATTTTAATTAAAGAAGAGCACATACTGATCATTACTCAGGTCCATATTTTGACAGTTCAACAAATAAGCACACATCTTCTAGTCTAGTTTGTATAAGACGTGTTCCGAAGACCACATTTTCCTAAAGTCACATATGTTGCAGGTAAAAGACAGGAGGGGAGATCCTATATCAGACGAAACACATTTCCATCACATTATATAAGCCCCTCGTCTAATCATCTCATCCCTCCACTCGGCACAAGCACAGCACCTCTGTGAATGATAGCAGATGGAGATGTCGGAGAAGGAAGCGGATCGCTCACTTTATAACACGCACTGTGTACAAACAATGCTCACACTGATTACATAACTTTAAACATTTCAGACTGAGCGGTGCGCATTTTATAACATTCGCCAAGATTGCTTTTAAAGGAAAAACAGCAACATAAGATGCTAAAGCGTGTCAGGAATACTTAATGCCTAAAATCAAAAGAGAATTTAAAAAAAAAACAGCAAAAACAAAAAAAAACACCCAAAAGCAGTTTTCCTTTTTCTATTCTTGATTTCCAAAGTGTTTTTTTTGTTATAATATACTCCTTATGTTTACATAAAGAGAATCTGTTGCTGGCTATTTACCATCACGTAGGGGACGTCTACCAAACTAAACCTTGTATTCAGCTTTGATATTATCGCATTTTTTATTTTTGCTGCCAGAATAAAGGGAACATAGAAGTAAAAAAAAAAGCACTTGCAGTTTTAAAGAAGGAAGAAGTAAAACTTTAATTAACCCTTGCAGTGGGAATACCCCCACACTACTCGTACTCACCCAAATGCTCCGATACTTACCTCCGATACCGGAACTACCGTTTAGAGGTAGATTTTCCTCTGACTGGCAATGTCGAGGGAGCATGGAGCCGGCTTTCTTACCAATCAGGAAGCCAAGCGGTGGGTTTTGACCCGCCTTTCCACTTCCTGATTGGCTAGTGATCAGTTTCACTTGTTGCTAGGCAGCCTGGCATCCTGACCAATATCGGTAATGGTGCCGATAACGAGTATTTGGGCGAGTACTTGTACTCGCCCAAATTCTCCGATACTTACCCATGATACCGGAACTTCCGGTCAGAGGAAGATCTCCCTCTGACCAGCAGTGTCGAGGGAGCATGGAGCCGGCTTCCTTTCCAATCAGGAAGCCGGGCGGCATGTCATGACCCACTTCCCTGATTGGTTAGAAAGCCCAGCTGCA